GCGCTCCCTGAGGCGCAGCATTCTGTCAATTAGAGACCATATAAAGAGAGGCTGCGCCAGATGTCTCCTAGGCAATGCACTTTGGCCGCCAGCACGCAAGAGGGCTGAGGGTTACGCTTCTTCGGAGGCCTGTGAGCTTTGTAGTTCAGGGGTCCCAGGCACTCTTGGGCGCAAGTTTTACGATTGCCCCTTCTCTCCTCTCGCTTCCTGAAGAACTCGGGCTGGATTTGATGCCTGAAGAGGTCTTGGAGCGCAGGGAATTTCTCGGGGGCCTTGGGAGTCTGGGCTAGACAGGCCTGATTGGGAAACTCCTGAGCTGGTCTTCGGTTTGCCAACCCATCCCATCAGGCTGCCGCCAGACGACCCGCATTGCCCTGTGCTCGCCTGGGGAGCGACCAACGAGGATTGGGGAAGGCGCGTCTACACCGATGGCTCGGGGCGTGCGAACGCAAGCCCCGAACTGCGAAGGTGTGGATGGGCTGTCGTCGAGCTGGGCCCTTGCGGGCTGCCTGCTAGGGCGTTGTACGGTCCGCTGTCTGGGCGCCAGTCGGTGCCCCGCGCTGAGCGCTACGCGGGATGGTGGGTGTTTAAGGTAGCTCCCCAGCTCGAGGCCCTGTGTAGCGACCACTTGGCCTTTGTAAAGGAGGGCCAAAGCTGGGACCCCTTTTTAGCCTCTGCCCGAGGCAAGCATGCCGACGTTTGGCGGCGCATCTTCCAGGAATGCCCTCCCGGCAGGCATCTGCCTGATTTCGTGTGGGTCAAGGCCCACCGAGGTCTCGAAGATGTGCTCGACGCCGAACCCCAGGATTTTTTTGTTTTTTGGGGTCATAACTGCGCTGATTGTTTCGCCCGGCTTGGGGCCCAAGTGAACCAGGTAGCGCAAGTTGCTGTGGACGCAGAAGCTGCCCACCTCAAGCAAAATAAGCTTACTGGAGGTTCCTGTCAAGCGCTGTGCAGCTTATCAGTACGATGGCTAGCTGTCTTGATAGCCCTGCAGAGCCTAGTCGGGCCGTGCACAGTGGCCCGAGGCTTGCTTTGGCTGAGCACGACCTGCATTATTTTGCGGAGTTAGGTATCTGGCGGTGCAGGGAATGCAACGCTTCAGCGTCGTCGCAGTCCACGCTCAAGGGATTGCGAAGTGGAGCTGCCAGGCACTGCCGCCCGACTGCCATACAGAGGTGGAGAGCGCAGCTGTTTTTCGCTGAGAACCTCGGTTCGAGGTCCGAGTCGTCCCACGCCGCCTCTGCTGCCCTTGCCCTGGCCGAAGATCTCATGGGCCCTGGGGAACCCCCTGCTCCTCCTGTCGACCTGGGTCCCCTTGTTCCTCTGCCTCCCGAAGGAGACAATGGCCAGGGCACAGACGGGCTTGAAGTCTTTCGTGAGTTGAGTCACAAGCCAGCTCGGCACGGCCGAACCATCATTTGCCTGTCTTGTACGTGTTTCCTGATACTGCCCACTGGGCATTGTCGTGGCCTGAAGAAGCTTTGTAAAGGTGCTGCTAAGGCGCGTGCTGACCGTGCGGTGCAGGCTAAGAAGCTGTTGAATGCCGAGCGCGGGAAGCAACCCACTTCTGGTGAACTCCTAGAGCCTGTGCCTGGCGTGCCGAGGCAGGGCGATGCCGCCACTGCTGCCTCTTCTCTTAGGGATGGGGCTGGGGCGGTGGACGGCTCGGGGGAGGGATCCGACTCTTCTGATTGACGGGCTGCATCGCCCGTCTTCTGCGTAATGTAGCTGCCGCGGTGGCCTGCCGCCGTGGCTTGGTCGCCCTGGCGGCCCGCAGTGCCACTCTGGCCCTGCCTTTGCGGTGCGACGTTGGCTTCCCTGCCGATCGCCCCACCCTCTCCTTGTCATCAGCGATGCGCCAGTCATTGACACGCGCTTCCGCTGGCTCGCTCGCTCGCTCCCTCTGGAATACATACAGACCCCCAAGGAATCCCTATGGGATCCCTCCAGACCCTCATGAGATGCCTACGGGATCCATCCAGACCCTCATGGGATCCCCGTGGAATCCCTAAAGACCCTCATGAGATCCCGATGGGATCCTTACAGGCCCTCATGGGATCTCTATGGAATCCCTAATGGTCCTCATGGGATGCCCATGGCATCCCTCCTGACCCCTATGGGATCCCTCCAGAATCCCTAGAGACCCTCCTAGGATCCCGATGGAATCCTTAAAAGCCCTCATGGGATCCCTATGGAATCCTTGCAGACCCTCAGAGGGGCCCTATGTAATCCCGACAGACCCTCATGCGATCCCGGTGGAAACCCTACACACCCTCATGTGATCCCTATGGAATCCCTACTGACCCCCATGGGATCCTTATGGCATCCCTACAGACCCTCACGGGTTCCCCTATGGCATCCCTACAGACCCTCATGGGATCACAATGTACTCCCTAACGACCCTCAAGTGATCCCAACGGGAGATCTAAAGCCTACATGCGATCCCGATGGAATCCCTACAGACCTTCATGGGATCCTTATGGATACCCCAAAAACCCTCATGTGATCCCTATGGAATCCCAACAACAGGCCCTCATGGGATCCCGATGGAACCCCTACAAACCCTCATGGGATCCCAGGGGACTCCCTCCAGATAGGATGTTTGGTAAAACTGATGGATCTCCCCGCTTCCAGAACTGGCGCGGGCTTCCACTTGCGGTTTCCTTGCTCCTGCCCTTGCCTCTTTGCTTGCCCTTTCTCTCTCCCTCTCTCTTCACCGCCGCTTGGCGGCTCAAGCCTTTTCAAGGCCAAGCTGGGGGTCGGCCTCAGGTGGCCTAAGGCCGGGCCCCGGGACCGGGGCCGGAAGAATTTCGGGGCCAGGACCAGGACCGAAGGGGGGCGCCCGCGGCCGGATGGGGCCGCGCCTGGCGCCGCGCGGCTGGGGGGCGGCAGCGCTGCTGCCCGAGGGCGCGCAGCTGCGCAGCGGCGGAGAGCCCGGGTGCCGGCCGAGCGGCGCCGGCTCACGCTAGCCGCGGAGCACCCGGGGGCGGAGGGGCGGCAGCCGTGACACGGGCGCTGCCCGCCGCCGCCGAGCGGGATAGGCCGGGCGCACATCAGCGCCGGCGCCCGCTCAGGCCCAGGCGAGGGCGGCGAAGCGCGCACGCGCGCTGGGGCCCGCCTGGAGGAGCTGCCCCGGGGCCCCGGCGCCGCCGCTCGTCGGCAGGCGCCCGGGTTGGGCCGCGGTTCCATTCGCCATCCTCATGGAGATGGTGGGGGTGACCAACGCCGAGCTCGTGCACGAGCAGGCGGCCCCCGACCTCGAGGTCTACTATGACGACGAGGCGAGCGTGGACATGAAGGGGTTCTGGCTCGACGGGCCCATGGACTCCTCCGCGCACGTGGACGCGCTGCCGGTCGGGGTTCACTCCGCCAGCGGGCGCGCCGCTCCAGCAGGGAGTGGTGAAGGGGGGCCGCCGCGCGCGCGCTCTGCGCCGCCGGCCGACCCACCCCCCCAGGGCCCGGCCCACACCCCCCCTGACCCCTCCGACGGAGGCCCATCGTCCTGGATCAGGGGTTGGGGTCTTTTCGGCATCAGCTGGAAAGACATCGGCAACCGCACGCACTGGTTTGCCGAGGGGATGGGCGGAGGTACCTTCCGGGCTGTGGGGAGTTCCAGGTCGGCCTTCTCGACCCGCGAGGCAGGAGGTTGGTTGAGCTCCGACGGCGGCTGGGCGCTGTACATGGCCGACCAGGTGGGCCTCTACCTGTTCGGCTCCGCGTGGCCGTCGATCGCCGGGCTCGCGGCGATCCTCTCCGGCACTGGCGTGGTCGCACTTCTGGCCCGCAGCCTGAAGACGCTCTTCGCACCCTGCAGCTGGGCAGCCTGGACATGCGGCCTGGCGCTGGCGTGCTGCCCCTGCCCGAGGCGCAAGACGCCTGGCGAGGCTAAGCTTGACAAGCTGGTCCCGCCGGCGGCGCCGCCCCTCACCGACGTAGTGTGGCACGGCCCAGCCGTAGGTGCAGATCCGACGACCGACTGGTACCGCAAGAGCATCAAGGAGGGCAGGGGCTCCAAGCGCGGCCAGAACGACCTCACGATCAGGGTCGACTACTGGGTCGCGCGACTCAAGCTCAACATGAAGTCCCCGGAGCGCATCAATCGCCAGGGATTGTGGGTTGAGTATGATTCTGTGAAGGGAGCCAGCGACAAGGGCTTCAGGCGCGAGCTAGAGCAGCGCGATCCGCGCTGGCTCCACTTGCGTCGCTCCACCAGCTGTACCGGATGCAAGGGGCGCGAGAACGAGCTGCACTGCAAGGAGTATGCCGCCCTTGACAACGAAGCTATCGTGGACCTCGGCGGCTATTCAAAGTTTACGCCTTGCCGGATCTTCGTCTGGCTCTGGAGGTGGTTGGGCCTCGTCTACAAGCTGCTGCTGTACGTCCTCCCATGGCTTTCGCGTAGCGGGGCGTGCATCTGCCGCCGGCGACGCCGCCGTCACAAGACTGGCGATGCGGAGCCTGGCGCGCAGGGATATGTGGCAAGGTTGCTTGACCAGGAGTCCGAGTCCGAGGTAGACGCCGAGGACAACCCCTGCGAGGCGGTGAAGGTAGGGCTCATGATCAAGGGCAAGATGCGCCCGCTGGCGCCCGAGGGATGTCGAGACGCCGCACGCGGCGATCCTACCGTGCTGTTGGCGGAGGATGGCCGGGCTTCTGACCTCGCACTTCCTAGCGAGGGGGACGCGACAGCCTGCCTTTGCGAGCATCACAGGCAGATCTACATGGTCCTGCGCTATGGCGAGAAGTGCTCCCAGGTGACGTGCTTCCGCGAGGCGGTGGGCATGGCCTCGGGGGCCCCACTCTGCCTGCAGCACCTCGGAGGCGATGCCGCCAAAGCGCTCCACGACAACCCCGCGGGAGTCGGGTTCCTCGCGGGTCTGCGACGTCGAGCTCGGCGAAGCCCTGCTCCGCAGAGCCGCACGCCTGAGCGTGCCGCTGCGGCGCCAGCTCGGAGTCGCACACCAGAGCGCCCCGCTCCGGCAGCCTCCGCTCCGGAGGCGCCCACCAGCCCGGGCGACCCCGTCCCTGCGCCGGCTGGGCCACCGAGCGCGCGCTTCGAGGCGCCGCCGGTTCCAGAGTTCCCCAAGCCGCCCACGCCGCCGCCCATGCCCCTCGGGCGATACTTCATCGTTCGGGCGAGGGCACAGTGGCCAGAAGGAGCGCAGTGGATGATTTCCCGAGGGAGGGCGGCCAACGCCGCCGCGGCCAGCGCAGTGGCGGACTACCTCGACGGCGCGATGGCTCTCGAGGTGGAGGACCCGACTGGCGCAACCATCCGCTTTCTCGTGAAGCCTGACGGCGTCATCCGTGCGCCTGCCCCAGGACCCTCAGGGCGTCTGCCAGCGGAGTTCATCGAGGAGATGCTCCACCACGCGCCCCTGGGCTGCGAGGAGCTCGGCATCAGCGTCTCGGCGACCAACGCACCCGAGAAAGTCTGGCATAAGCTGACTGCTGCCGCGGCCGAAGCGCGGTCAACAATCCTGGCCGTGACCCTCCGCTGACCTGCCTGGGCGGTGGCGCCGGGTGCTGGTTGCTGATCTCGATTCCACCTTGGGCTCCAGCTGGTCCATTCTTTCGGCGGCTTCAACGTGGCCCACAGCGGCAACTTCTCGCCGGGGCGCACCGCCTCCTCGTCGTCGAGAGGCGGCCCATGCGCGCCTGCTGTGTCCTCGTCCTCCGTTTACTCGAAGAGGTACAGCTGGTCTGCGTCGAAGAAGCCTCCGGACAGTGCCTCCGGGACCCTCAGCCTTGCCTTGACCTCTCCGGTCTCGAACGGGCCCCCCTTGAGCAGCACCCGCTGGTCGCCCTGCTGCGGGGCGAAAACCCGCACCGGGCTTGCTCGTGATGCCTCGTCCTCAGCTTCCCTCGCCTTCTCCTGGCGGCGGTTCTCCTCCCCCTCCTCCACCTCCTCCTCCTCCTCCTCCTCCTCCTCCTCCTCCTCCTCCTCCTCCTCCTCTTCGGGGCTCTCATCCCCATCGCCGTCATCGTCACCACCTCCGCCAGATCCGCCTCCTCCACGAGCGGCAGCTTCGCGTGCCTCACGCATGCGCGCTTTGTTGCGCTTCCAGCCTCCTCGCTTGCCGCCCCGCCTGCCGCCCCGCTTCTCGTCGCCACCACACGCGATCATGGTCGGCTCGCCGTCGGTCTCCACCTCCAACTCGTCCTCACCTTGGCGTTCGCCCTTTGAGCTCCCGCCGTCCTCCTCCGCCGCGTCTCTCTCCGGGCAGCCGTCCTTTGAACGACCGCCTCCACGGGGGCCCTTTGAGCCCTCGTCAATCTTGACCTCCATTGAGCTTCTCCATTTCGGGCGGGGTAGGCAGCCCGAGACGTTGCAGCCGCTGCGGGGGGCCTCCAGCTGGCGTTGCGATTGCAACTGCGCCCGCTCCGATCCTCCTCTGTGCGGCTGGTGATGGTGCTCCTCCTCAGGCTGCCGCACCTCTCGCCGTGCTCGCTGATGGTCCCGCCCTCGGTCCCAGCGCCCTCCGCCGCACAGGCAGAAGGCCGAAAAGAAGGGGGGGGGTCTTGTTCCAGGGCGTCAGAACGCCCGGCCCGCGCCACCTTGCTTTCCAACTTCTCCTCCAAAGCCCGCGCCTCGGCGTCCATCGCCGCAATATGCTGTTCCAGCTTCTCGGGGGCGGTGCCGGCAGCCGCTGCCTTCAGCACGGCTGCCCAGGCAGCGCACAGCCGCGGCGCATACTGCCCCGCGCGCTGGGCCCCCCGCATGCCCCGCAGCCCCAGCCCGAAGCCGGCGCTTCCCAGTTCCCCCTTCGCTGCAGCGCTGAGCTGGGGGGCGCCGCTGGGGACGCGCCCTCCACCTTCCAGGTTGGGCGGGGCTTGCGTGCTGATGGTGAAGCGGAGCTCGCCCTCGGGGGTCTTCCCGAAGTAGAGGGCCCACTGGTTCTCAGGCAGAGCGGAGTAGTGCCGCTTGGTGCGGAAGTCGATCCTCGCCCAGTGGAAAAAATTGTCTGGGGCGGCCCGCGCGATGAGCTGGTTCACGCGGAGCAGCTTGTCGTCCGGGGGCAGCTTGACGGTGGCGCCGTCTTCGTCAAGGCCGTAGCACCCGCTGGCCTCACCCAACTTGGTGCTGAGGTTGATCAGCTCGCTTGCCTCGGTCTTGCTGAGCCGCATGCGCGTGTCAAGGTTGTAGGCTTCCACTTGGGCGTCCGTCAGATCGTATGGTAGGCCGCCCTCCGACGCGCGGTGCGCGTGCTTGCCTGTGCACCTCCTGGCCAGGATCAGGGCGTATGGGGTAGAGCCCGAGCGATGTCAGCCACCAAGTTCGCTTCTGATACCGACGCTGTGGCTCGTCCGGTGGTGCGAGTCCCCACTCACACATGTCTATGGCGAGGACTCGGGCTCCAGTCGCGTGCACCAGAGCTCTCATGCGGGGGCGATCCCAAAGCTTGGGGTACCGGCCATCCCGCGCTGAGGACTCGATGAGGAACTCCCGTCCCGCCTCGTAGCCCCGCTTCGCCCCTATGCACGCGAACTCCCCGAACACGTTGCCGTCGATCTCGATTTGGCGCTCTCCAGCTCCGTCTGGGCACTCGAAGGTTCTTGTCCCTCCTGCTGCCAACTGCCAGGGGCAATGGCTCACGCAGGGTGGAGCGAACTGCAGCACGTTGGCCTCGTCGGGGCCTGGAGGCGCACTGAACTCTCGGTGCAGGCGCTCGCGTACCAGCGGGTCGCGGATGTCGAACTGCGGCCTGGGGTCCTTGCCAAGCAGAGGCTGCCCAAAGTATTCGACGGACTCGTTGGTGGCGGTGCCCGCGTTCTTCATAGCCTGCGTCCAGCGCCCTGCACCGGCGAAAATCTCCCGTGTCCTGAGTCCCCACGCGAACGTGGGTCGCGAGCGCAAAGGCTCCAGGTCCCCGAAGTCCGGGCAGGCCACTTCGGTGGGGAGCTCGACCACGGCGGGTGCACCGCCGGCGGCTCTCCCACGCTGCTGTTGCTGCGCGGCGAGGGCCCTGCAGTGCTGGCACGGTGGAGGTTTGCTGGCCACCACTGGGCTGCCATCCTCCTCGGAGGCGAGGTATGTTTCCAGCCCATGGTGGGGAGCTCCTTGAGGTCCTTCCCGCTCGTGGCCCAGGTGCGGATCAGTTCGTCTGCCACTCGTCGACCCTCAGCGCTGGGTGGGGGATGAAGAACACGCATATGCCCGCGATGGATGATCACGTGGCACTCCTGCTTGGGCTCTCCCGCTGGGAGAACTGTTTCAATATCCAAATGACCCCAATGATCCGCCCGCCATACTCTGAGTACCACCTCCTCCAGCGCTTCGCACGGGAAGAGGGCGACGCACCTGAAGTCTTTGTCGTGGTCGCGATGCACCGCATCATGGATGTGCATCCGGACCTCGGCCTCCCTGGAGGATATCCAAGGTGGGGCGTCGGCAAGGCCCGCAGCAGCGTCGGTAGCCTTCTCCAGGAGGTCTCTGCGGATCTCAAGGGCCAGGTCCTTGACTTGCTGAGCGTCGGGTGGTGCTTCGAGCTTCACCCAAAGCTTGGCTGCCGCCAGGTGGAGTGGGAGGCACTGACGCTCCTCCGAAACACCGGCGGGCACGTGCAGACGCTTCGCGACGCACTCGTCGAGGGGCAGCTGGTCCTGATAGTCGAGGTAGTGCCAAGTCTGGCCCTGCACTGTGACGGAGCCCTGTCCCACCGACTTCTCAGCATTCCACCGCACTGGTGTTATGATGACGTCTGGGTCAGCCCCCAGGTTGCCAGCCTTCGCTCCGATGCGGTCTAGGAGCTCGCTAGCCTCGGCAGCCAGGGTGGGCCCGCCGTGGCGCGTCGCCTCCTGTTCGACCGAGAGCTCCTCCTCGCGCCCGCGGGCGCAGGCAAGGCGGGCCAAGACATGCGACCGCATGTAGTCGCTGGCGTGGCTTACGGAGTCGAGCACTCCGCTCTCTTGGACGGCCTCGAGCAGCTTTCGCTGGGCCAAGGCTCCCTCGTCCGTGCAGACACTCGTCCCAACCAGGGCCGGGCTGTCGGCGCGCGGGTCCTCCAACCAGGTAGCGTCGGGTCCCTGGGCGGCCTCGCGAAGCTCCGACTCGAGCTCGGTGCACTGAACCTCGGCGTACTCGTCGGGCGGCGCCCAGCCTGTCTTGGTAGGCTGGCTCTCCGCTGCCCCCGCACCTGCAGCCCGTTTGCCGTCAGCTTCGGTCTTAGCTTGGGCCCGCAGCTGCGCGATCCGCCCATTGACTGAAGCTGGGTCGACCTTGGCGGCGTTGCGGAGCCCACCTCGCCTGAGCAGCTGGCACTGCACGGTCCAGTGCACGTCCTTCAGGCCCTTGATGAGCTCGTGTGAATGCGAGCACCCTTGAGCGCCCTTCTTGCAGCCTATCCAGGTCGAGTTGTCCCAGCAGAGTGGCTTGCCCTGCTTGTCGCAGGGCGCGTGCCGTACAGAGAGCTTGATCTCCTGTCCGTTCAGCCGCTTGCCCGCAGGGTAGGCGGCGCGCGTGAAGTTGGCCTTCGGCTGGGCCTTGGCCTTGGGCTTCTTCTTGGGGGTAGCTCCTGCTCGTTGTTCCTGTGGCTCCGCAGCTGGTTCGTCTCTTTCTCTCTTTCTCTCTCTCTCTCTCTCTCTCTCTCTCTCTCTCTCTCTCTCTCTCTCTCTCTCTCCTCCGACCTCTCCGGCTTTGCCCGGGGCGCTGCGCACCCCGTGAATAGAGTCGTTGAGGACGGTCTGGAGGTAGCGCTGCTGCCGAGGACGTACGACTTCCTGGTAGTAGCCCGTGGGGGACTCGAGGTCGAAGACGTTGGGGAAGACGAACGCCGGGCGCCCGTCCGCCCTGGGAGCGAAAGCCACCATTTTGAGATCCTCCTTCCTGGGGTTGTCGGTCTGCAACACGCGCAGGAGGCCTCGCTTCTTCTCTCGAAGCCGTTCACACCAGGTCGCCCACAGCTCCTCCCACAGCTCGTATACGAACTTGGGCGGGAAAGCGTGGTCGTCCTTCTCGCACTCCCGCGCGAGGGTCTCCAGGCAATCCAGACGCTCTTTGATATGCTCTCGTCCGAAGAGGAGCCCGAAGAACTTGGTCATGTTCTGGGCCTGCCGCTTCCACTGGTCAAAGACCACGGGGGCCCTGGGCCGGGGTTCCAGCTTCGTGTCGCGCGGTGCGCTGCACTCGTCGAACGCGACCGTCTTGCACGTCGGGAAGTCCGCCACGGAGGCCGACCACGGGGCCAAGTTGTCCAAGCTGCTGCCGCCGAAGCTGAGCGAGGCGCAGGCCATCGCGATCCGGTTGGACACTGTCGTGGGCGTCTCGACGGCGAGCATCAGGGCCTTGTTCTGCTCACAGGTCCGGCGCAGAGCGTAGAACAGCTCGTGCCCAAGGACCTCGTCGCAGACCTCCACTGTCAGTTGGCCACACCCGCGCGCCAAGTAGACGTCCAACTCCTCTGCTCTCCCCAGTGCGGCCACCGTCCCTCGC